CAATTATAGCAGGAGCCAAAATGTAACAAGATCGAGATATCCGATCACGAGATGTCACGCTGTCACGGAAATGATTCAGGAAAAACGCAAGTACCTTTTGTTATATTACCTGCTAGATAAGAGTATAATCAAGGGTCAAGATCTAAATTGTGTGCTATCGTTTCAGTTCTTGCCCTAATCAATTATAAGCCTGTGAGCAGTGGCTCGCATTTACGATCATTTGATGCGCTTTCTAACTTCATCGCAAAAGATCTGGAAACGGTTGAGCAAACAACAGTTGTACATTCGGTCCCACAGAGGTTTTACTATCGATGTGTCAATAGTTATTACAAATCTTCATGACAGTGGATTAGCCCAGAAAGCGCGAACGTGTTTAAAGCGAAAGCGACATTTTGACAGCTGGACATTTCGTATATATCGGTAAAGGGAGTAAGATTCGTTTAATGTGAGGCACGTTCAACAGAAAAAAGTAAAGATATTATAAAGGACAAATAAAAAGTTAATATATAAAATTAATTAACGCGTTTCGTTATGTTTTGTTCTTTCTCTAACGTAGACATTTCCAACAATTCCAGATTGTTGCGACAGCAGATTAAAATGGGTTTAAATAATATAATATAATTATTTATATAATCATATTATATATTATTTAATAATTAATTATTAATTATTAATAATTATATAATTATATTATATAATTATATAATTATTTATATAATTGTTGCAAAATAACATATGTTTTTTATAAGTTATTTAAAAATTAATTATATATATATATATCTTACTTATTTTTCTATTAATCGCACGTAACATGTAATTTACATATAACATTTTCATTGGCATATACGAAATGTCAAGCTGTCAAAATGTCACTGCTACTTTGAACACGTTTTCCCCTTCTATAGCTCTAATCAACAGTCATGAGAAATAGTTAGAAATCAACGTAGCTGACTGAAAACTTTTAGTAACTATTGACATATCGATGGTAAGGCATCCGTGAGTATATATGCATACAGCATTATTACCATTAATGCTCATTTACTTTATTCCCTCTACTTTAAATAAGTAATAAACCAATATTGTGCATACAATTAAAAAGTCCTAATAACTTAGTTGCACAAAATGTTGAAGCTATTATACCGGTTATTATGTACGACACTCGTACACTTGTTTGCAAAACACAATGAAGTAAGGTACTTTTCGAACTACCACCATTAAGAACACGATCACGTAGGTTAGTATTTTTTGCGTATATCCTGTAACCAATCAGATATGATTTAAGTTTTCTGTTACATTTATATTAATAATATAATAATTAAAAAATAAATCTTTGGGGATTACGTGAGTTTGCACGACTTTTATGTGTGTGAATGCGGTACTTAACGGTATGGATGATGTGAAGACGTGTGTAAAGTTATTCTTTAGATATTATTATTCTTTAGTTTGAAACAAATTCAAAAATATATTAGCAGCAGTATTATTTTCTCTCTTGTATATTTTCTTTATTATCCTACATCTCTATTTTCTTTTTGTTGTGCTTGATGTATTTATAGATTATGTTTACTGCTTATTATGCGTCTTTATATATATATATATGTATGAATGTTTACATTATAGCATTCGTAATTTCATTACATATCCTTCAAAATATTCGTGGTTTAATATATTCTGGCCAATATAACTTGCCATCAGTTAATCTCGATACCCACATTGAACTTGCTACAAAGAATAATAATTATGTTAAATAATAAATTATATTATTACCTCAGTTTTGTAAATATTTAAAAGATTATTTAATTGTATATATTATATATTATATTTTAAATTAATAGAACTAAAAAAGATATACGAGATACATAATAAGCAATAAACATAATCTATAAATATATTAAGCACTCTATAAGTACGTTAAACACAACAAGAAAAAGCCAGATATATAGAATAATAAAGAAAATATATAAAAGAGGAAATGATACTATTGTAGAAATGTTTTTGAATTTGTTTAAAAACTAATCAATAATAATATCTATAGAATAACTTTTTCAGATGCCTTTATGTCGTCCATATATATGTATATACATTTACTTGATATTCAGATCTCTTTGTCATGGGCGTGAAATTTGTGTAATAGATACCAATAAACTGTAACATTTAGTATTTCTATCGGAATATTCTTGGAAAATGGAAAGATATTCTTAGTTGTATACGATACAAATGGCTGCTGCCATTTTATGTCCCGTCGAATTTTCCGCACTAAGAACATTCAATTTCGCGTCTGAATTTTTCTGATTAGTTAGACGATACGCGTTACGCGAAAAATACCGAGAAACTGCATCTTAAGAGTCACTATTGATAAGCTTGAGCAATAATCGGTTATATCGGAGACAGAATGACAGCATACGAGCAATTCAACGTCGCAATTGCCACGGAAGATTTGAAAGAAGTATATTGGTTATATTTTCGTCTATTGAATAAGAGTACAGCCGAAAGCCAATATTTACACCGTGTATCGTTACTTCAGCTCTCATCATAACCGATTATTACACAAGTCTGTTAGCAGCGACTATAAATCGTGAATTTGGCGCGTTCCTCATTTCTTTATGACTAAAATGTTTTGCAACCAACAAAATAAGGTAAATATATCAAATAGAGGACCAAACTCCAATGGACCTTTTACATTTTATACATTTTATAAATGACCTTGATATGTATTATAGGAGATATTCTCCTAAATAATTCTTTAAAAATTCTAGCCATTGTTTATTAAAAAGTTATTAACGAAATAAGTTTTATAAATCGAGCTTATTTTCTCGACGCAATGTATATTAAAAAATATTAAACATATGAGCGAGGAAGGGCTTCAACTGAAAAAAAACCTAGGCTAACCTAACTTAACTTTAACTTGTACATCTTTGCATATAGTTGAGTGCATATTATTGAAAAGGTTCTTTTAAAACTCATAACGTTACATCATATGCAAAGATATATGAGTTGGGTTTGGTAAGGTTAGAATTAGGGTCAGGTTTGGTTTGGCTAGGTTTAGTTTCTTTCGGAGAGGAGTGCAGGGGAAAAAGATTTCCGCTCCTATTGTTTAACATTTTTTAATGTATACTGTATCGGAAAAATATATTTTATTTATAAAACTTCTTTTATTAATAACTTTTTAATAAGCAATGGGTGGCAGCTAAAAAGACAGCTTTGAAAAATTATTTAGGAAGATGAGCTTGAAAATATATATAAAGATAAAGATTATAGGAGATGAGTCTTCTACTCGGTATATTTATCCAAAATATTGACCGAATAATGACGTGGCAGTGACAAATAGGCTCCATAATATTTTGAATGAGCACTTTTTGAATTTAGACTTGTTATGCGCACTTGTTATGCGTATTATCTGTGTGTGTTTACACCATTCTAATCAGGACAATAGTGCGTTATGTTTCGTTTTATTAAAATGTACAAACATTTATCTTTCACATTCTTTTTATATTTTGTCCTCTTCTTTAGTGCACCTCAGATGTTTATAGTCTATCAACACATTCATATTACGTATTCATATCTCATACGTATGTTTAGTACTATCAAACGCTTAATTATAATTCAACATTGACTTTATAGTAGCCTGTCAGGCTGATTTATGACATGTATGAGTAAACTCAAAATAATATGCCAAAATGATATCACATTCCCTTCCTTTCCCCCTCCACCCCATTTAGAACAAGCAACGTAGTTTATATTATAACCGAGCACACACCGCGACAAGGTGATCTAAGAACCGACCGGGAGCGACAATTCGAATTGGTCCAGTAAACTCGAGCGCATGCATCGTATATCAGACAAGACATCTTGCAATCTTTATTATGAAACATACCGAATTTCGTGCGGAAAGTTGCGGGGGCGTAAAGGGAATCTCTCGTTGGTGCAGCCCGCACAAAAGGAAGAAAAGGAAAAAGAGAGGAAAGAAAAAAACGTGATACGATTCTAAATTGTGGAAGGGTACTTGCGCCCACCGTGGGAGAATTATGTTACTGTTATTCGTGGCATACGTAAGCCGACTGCATACACGTGAGCGAAATAAAAAGTTGGCAGGACAGCATGTTTAAAGCATGTGTCGGGCAGTTATATTCGTGAAACGCTTACTAACGAACCGTCGCTTTAAAACCGGTAAAAATTTCTGGAGACCGGCCGGTCCGCGCGCCCGCCAGCCTGCAAATTTGCGACTTTTATCTGGAAATCGCGGGACCGCAGATAGCTCGCTACGCTGCGCCGGAATCTTGTCAGCGATTCACCGTTAAATTCGGCACGGCCGCTGCCGCGACTCCTCGATTTGCTTCTGTTTCCGAGGGTACGTGCGCGCACACGTGTACACGTCGTATGTTGATTGGCGTCATAACGGCGGGACTGGCACATTACCAGAATATTCGTGGCGATCTACCTCGCGGGGTAACTTTGAAATGATTTTCCGATCGGGCTACCAGACGACTTACAAGTGAAGTCGAAAGAGTTTCATAAAACGAAACCTAAAATTTCTCGATAAACTCCTGGGTAAATGGAGGTTGAGTGAATTCCCTCTCTCTCTCTCTCTCTCCCTCTCTCTGTTTCTCGCGAGCCAAACGATTTTCCACTTCAGACGAAGCAACGGAAAGGTTTTCGTTAAAAACGCCGTCAGTCTTAATTTAGTTTATTTCCTATCTCAAACTCTTTTTCTCCCTCACCAAGAATATCGAACGACTCTGATTCTCAGGCGAAAACATTACTATTGACGATCGATGTTAATGGTTTGGCGCGTTTTATTCCCAACGTTGGGAAGCTCCATCGAAGACTTCAAATGCGTTTGTTCGGTATGCAGAATTTCATGTTTTACCTCCAATTTTGTTATTATCTTCGCCGATGGTCCAAGTCAAACTACTCTCCCTCCTTCTTTTTTTAACATGTTGAGAAAACTTTCCGCTGGCGCTTAAAGTCTAAAAAATTGAGCATACACCAAGATTTCAACTCACGTCTGTCGATAAAACGAAAAGTGCCAGAAAAGCCGCTGGCATTAGACGGTGCACCCTCGGTATGAAACTCTAGAATGAGTGTCGATCTCGAGCTGTAAAGGACTTGCGGGATGTCACGCAGTTCTCCACAAAGCACACCAGACCAAGGAGTGTACTCGGAAACGCCCCTGCTCTCCAGGTGTAAAAATAACTTCAAGTAATCTCCTCTGGAACAGCTGAAACAAAAATTGAGATATTTCACACTCATAATGTAACGACAAACGTACGACGGTGCTGATCGAGCGCGATTGAATTTTAATTCTTCAACTGCTGTGTGCTGAGACAAAAATGTCCCATATTTGTGATTATATAATAGTACAATGAAATAATTATGATTAGAAAACTTATCTACAATAAATGTTGCTATAGTGTTATTGATTTATACAGGGTGTCTTATTTTAAAAAGGCCAGGTAAAAATATGTCTCAAAGGGAACATAAAACAACTATATCATTTTGTTTACAGATGACGCCACTTTTGAGATATTCACCGATCATTATTTTTCTCAAATGGAAACCCCAATATTTTATTACATCATCTTTTTCTACCAACTAATTTTAACAACTTTTGTCAACATTTTCTTATTTGCCTAATAGTTTTTGAGATTTTAAGGAAAACTTGATAACTTTTTCAATGTTTAACTTATGATATCTCGCTAACTATTTGTCGGAAGAAAAAGTGGTAGTAAACATTTTGCTCTATTTGGTCTCAAGAATATATTGTTATAGTAGCACCTTGGAGTTTTATTAATTTGATGACTTTGAAATTTCCAAAAGTCGATAAATTGTCTTATGCTCCCTTTGAAGCCATACAACTTTTGTCTGAAACGTTTTTTAGCATCTTTTATATTTTTTGAGATTTTTATCTAGCTCATTTCAAATGGGACACCCTGTATATATATAATATATATTCTATATATAATATATATATATATATATAGAATAAAAACATATGTGTTTGAGACTAGTAATAATTATAACTTGTAATGAGATAAATTAAAACGAATATCTTGAGTAGCTTAATAAATATTGTAATATGTTTCATTCAAATAAAATGAAACGATTATGTTTTTATGTTAAAATTTTATTACAATATATGCACCATTTTGATGCATGATCTCTCACCGTTATGTACATTATTTTATAAAATTATGGCAATATGAAAATATAATCGTTACGTTTACCCGATAAATCTAAAACTTCTTATTAAACAATCCAATGCAATATCAATAAAAATGGAAATGAAAGTAAGATAAGTATGGGGAAACACGTGCGGTCGATCATATTTTAAATGATTATATCTGAAATTCAAACGTTTATAAAATATATTCTTTTTACGAATCGCTACACGACCAGCATCGGCTTTTATTTGCTTAATTTACATTCCTGTATATTCTATTGATTTTATTTTGCAACAAGATCAATAATTTTTCTTTTCAATGTGGGCGCATATATACTCTTAAAATAAACAATTTGTTGTAAACTTTGACATTGTCATTGGCATTGTCAAGGACTTTCATCTACACGTTCAGTCTCTCAACTAACTATCAACAATTTCAGTTACAAGTTTTATTATTTCAAGTTATTGTATTTCTTTGTAATATTTTTCTATTGTTTATTTTAACTTGTATTTTTATTTGATTTATCTTTTATTTTTTATTTATTCTTTATTTAACTTATTTTCAAACTATATGTATTTTAGTACACGAGTTTATTTCCGTTCTATTTAATATGTCACAGGTCGGATGTTCGACAATCTTGTTGACTTCCGACCGCACAGAGTGCTTTTTCGTCGCGCTGCTGGTGCACTCAAAGGATTAACAATTTACACGAATGCTTGCACGAATTAGCCGCGTTCTATCTCGATATACGAAATCGACATGCCGAAAACTTCAGAGAACGATCCACGTTGATCCGATGAATTCACCAATGCGAGCAAGATTCCGTTCAGCAGTTCGTAATATGCGCGCTCGAAGAGCGCCTAATTGACTAATTACACTCGGTGTTGAAATGGAACAGGTGTTCGGAAGTCCCACTGTACACAGATTAGCGCAGTTCACGCGCTTAGCGAACGTCTGTGATCCCGTGACTTAAAGCGAATACAATGCCGAAATTAGCGCGGCTTACGGCGAAGCCGGAAACGAGAAATTCACGTTAGGGGCTTGCATCCGCAAAAACAATTTGCCCGGCCGCATTAACAGGAATTCGGTATAATCTCGACGGAGGAGGGAGTCGCTCTCACACAGAGGAGGAGGAAGTCGCTTTTGCCGCGCGATATTGACTTATCGAATGTCTGCGCTGAAATTACTCCTCTGCTCCTTGAGGTTTCGCGTACGCGAGCAGGCGCAGGAGCAGCCGTTCTATTCGACACGAAAGTGTTACATCGAAATTATTTACGGTTGAGCGGCGAATACGTTAATTATATCGCGCTCTACAAGTTCGGTCGGAATTTACCGAGGTCTTAATGATCCCGTTACGCAACCGATTTATCACGGCCGCTTGGACAGCTCTCTCCTAATTAATTGCCGGCGCTCCCTGCGCGATATTCCATTTGTCGCGAGCGAGTGAGTGAGTGAGTGAGCGAGCAGATGGGTGAGCGAACGTGAGCAAGAGCGAGAGCGACCGACCGTGACATTCGCGACACAAAAGCGCGCATTAATTCGGCCGCTTCTTCCGCGCGCCGCGACCCCTCGCGCTCGTCTTCGGGGAGCGTGCGCTTGCCCTGAGAGAGAGGCCGCGAATTTTTCGCGAGTTTTCAGATAACCGATCAGTGCGTAATTCGTCATCGTTAGCGAGGTGGCAGCTTCGCGGCAGAAGACGTCCCTGCGGCAGGAATGTCGGCTGCATGCACAGCGCGCGGACACCGCGCGAAACGCGGTGGACCACGTATCGACCGCGGCCGCCGCGTCACCGCGGATATTAATTTCGCACCTTAATTTCCCAAACGTATTTCCGTCGACGCGCTCGGATCTTACGGTTCCCGCACGGCCGCGCTGCGCGCTGCAAGCCGCGGCGGCGGCGCGACGGGGCGGGCCCGTGGCAGTTAAGTTTGACGTCGTTAACCGGAGCCGGGAGACGCGTTCCTCCGTACGTCGCGCACCTCCGCTGTGTCCGGTAATGAGATAGGGATAGACAGGTTACGACGGAATAGAGAGACGGTGGTATCGTCTGGCCCTCTCGGCCACTCGACGGGCCCCTGGTGGCTAAATACGTAGGAGCTATATCGGTCGAACGAGGAGGCGCGCCAAATAGCCGGAGTGAAATTACATATCCTTTTAAAGGCCGCTCTCGAGTGATGGATGCGTGCTAATGTCTGGGAAAACGGTGTATTTACGGCGAGACACGTGATAACGTTGCGTTCGACAAATTCCTGCGCGAAGGAGCACTGCTCCTGGGACCGCGCCGTGATCATGCGCGCGCGATCGCCTCTCACGCCCGAGGATCGACGACGGTTCGAGGTCCGCCGATGATTCGCGAAAGAAACGCGAACGTACCAATTACCGGCTAAGCAATCTCATCGTCGAGATGAACTAGTGAATTAATAATGTACATATTGAGCTAAATGTGCGAAATTGATTTCGTCGCAGGAAGCTTGAACGCGTTTAGTGTTTTAATCATGTCATATTTTACTAATTTATGGAAAGCTTCTAATTTATTCGTATCATCTGAAATGATTAAATTACCATTTAGCGACATGTAAATTTAAGTTTGTCCTAATTTGTGATATTCATGCGTTCACGACAAAACGGTGAATGTATTATAAATAAATTTTTACTCCAATTATTGATTATTATTCATAAATACAGCTAAAAATTATGAATTATTATTATACCGTTGATATTACTGGTGTTTTTAGTAAACAGAGATATTAATAAAATTATTTATTTGACACTCTATTATTATAACAATTTATAGGTTAGGCATTTGTGTTTATACTTATTGCTAAATTCTCAAGAAATAATTTATAATAATGATTCTACTTCATAACTTCATAGTGAAAGATAGAGTTTAATCGCATGTTCTCCCTAAAAATAGAGACATTTATATTATTTTATATCATATTTATTTCAATAATGAGGACAAATAAACGTTCTAATGCTAATATAATTGCACTAACGTGAAAAATACATTAAAATCTTGTTACTTTTCTCGTTTAGAAAATATTCTTCAACATTTTTTTAATTCTGCCCGAAGAATCTTAATTGCTTAAAGTTAAAGACTGGCTAGATAAATCTGATATACAGAGTGGTCCAGGGTTTATAAAATGTGACAACTCAAAAACTCTAAAAATATTTGTAGTATCAAAAAATTGTTTATGGCAAAGTTTCTTTTGTCATAAGTGGTAAAATATTTAAAACGAAGAATACGTGAAGCTTGTGCTAGCGTGACTACAAAAGTGTTATTTAGAGTTAAACAAATTTTGTAAAAAAGATTAAATAAGTGTTTAAATGTGAGTGGTCAGCAGTTTAAACATTTAATAAAGTGAAAAATGTGAAAAACTATAAAGTCTTTCATTTAATTTATGGTTTTGTCACTTTAATTTGAATGCATTTTACTGTAAAATTTAAATGTTTATAACTTTGGATAGAAATATTTTTTTAAAGAAATGTTCCAGATAAACTTTATTTGTTTTTCCCCGTAGAATTCAAATATGTAACATTTTATAGGAGGTCCCATTTGAAATTACGGAGTTATCCTCCACCTCCATCAAGAGAGAACGAAGGCGGACTTTTGTTTATAGTTAAAAAGACCTCTCAAATATATGAAACTTTGTCATGAGTATTTTTTTGATGCGACAAATATTTTTAAAGTTTTTAGGTTGTCATACTTTGCTTGGGCCACCCTGTATATGATATTATCTTCTAAGATGTCAACGAAAAATGATTTAAATTGTACATATTAATAGCACATTTGTAAACAATAGATATTCCAGCATTTACTATGACTTTTAATTTTTAATTTCGTGCAAAAGCCGTTGCAACAAATAATGTATATTCGGGGTAAGAATACATTTTTTATAGAATAGGTATAGATGTGTAGAGCCGTATCAGCTGATTTATTAAAGAAAACCGACGCAATCGTCACACAAATTGGCACACTGTCGCCGACTGGGAGAAATTCACCTTCTTTAAAAAAAGATTTCAGGCCAAGTCGTTCGTGTTTAAGGAGGCAATAAAG